TGCTAATTCGATATTCTTCCAAGCCTGATTGAATATGAGCTTCGCATTCTTGATTTCATTAAGTCTACATAGTAAAAAAGAAAAAAGTGAATTAGCCTATTATGCTATCTAAAACGAGTAATTCGCGACTAACCTTTGTAATCCTTCTTCACCAACATTCTCTTCTGGTGTCAGCATGATTTGGACAGCATCAAATTATTGGATAAGAAAAAAATGAATATATGGTTTAAATTAGAAAATGCGTTTCGCCCTTGGTCATTTAGAAGAATTGCATGGGTGCATACCGTATAGTTTTTTTGTGGGCGATGGAAAAAATCGGATGGCAGATGCATAGGGGCTCATATTTGGAAGTTTGACATCTGGTGAGCGAGTAGTTGACGTCGAAACCTTTCGGTTAACGACACCATTGAGATTTGCCAATCTGTCAATACTTCCTTCTGTGACAGAAATATTGCACGGGCTTTTTATTATTTGTTTTAATGATGGAATTTGAGAAGATGGAATTATCGGTTTATAAGGTGAAGTAGGTATCAAGTGTGATGGTTTGTAAGTAAGGAGTCGACTCGTGTTTGAGCCAATCCAAGAATGAGTTGCGAAGCGATGATAATTTTTCAAATTTGATAGCAACGGTGTCGCCATGGTATCTAATGCAAATTGAAAATTTCTCTCAAAGAAATAAATCTAAAGCAAAATCCAAAATTGTTCTAAAGATAATTCTATTGAATCCTCACGTCTAGCACGAGGGTTGACAAGTCAAGCAAGTAATGAAAGAAAGGTAGTTGGAATTAATTGATTTCAAATGCAGGTTGCTACAGATCCTCTTATATGACAATGATTGTCTTTGATTAGATAACCGGTTTAACCATTCTAAGAAGACAAAGTCATTTTTCAATTGTGCCTGTACATTGCTAGATAACCCAATTCTGGTCCCCTGCATCTCGGTTATTCTGATTACCTTGATTACTTTACAAATTGCCAAATTGGTATCTTAGTTAAAATACCACTTGAAATATACTCTTTCGCTCGTCACGCTTCACGCTTACAGCTTTTCCAAAGCTTGATGTCACGAACGCTCAATATTTTGCCTGGATCATGGTACCCCCTTGATCTCATACAATTAAGCTTTTTCTCTTTTGTTCCTCTATTTTTGTGGAAAACGGGGAGACTTTTCTCATAGACGAACCACCAGCCCTCACCTTGATAAAAAAGGAAACCTCGTTTCAACATTTCAAAATATTATTCGTTATACAATCGAACAATCAAACATTTATCGATACAATAACATCACGGGTGACAATATCTTTGCATCGGACGAATTTAACAAAGAAACCGATTTGAAAATACAAGTAAATAAATCTATTTTTGAATATTTTTTAATAATTCCCCCATTAGCCATTAGACATTCAACACGAATTGGGTAAGGGCTTTTTTTTTTTTATTTCATTACAACATACTCAAAATGTATACCTGTACACACGTTACTATAGAATAGATTCATATCTAAGCCACAAGCCTTATGATATCTTTGACTGACGAAAGCATTCTATTTCTTTCGTGAAATGTTTTGCCGTAACATAAAAATAATATTAATAAGAAATAACAATATGTAAATAAAAAATTGTTATACTTTTAAAAAAAGAAATGAATATATAGATCTATATATTAGAATGTAAAGAATACAATTACCGTATATGAAAAAAGCTTGGTATACTGAATAGTGATTAATAAAAATTTATAAATTTGTAAAATATTAACAATACTTTATATATTGTTAGAAATTACTAAAAAAAAATTCTTTTTAAAACTTATTAATTTATAAAAACATTTTTTTTCTATCAATTTTTGAAAATTGAAAACTGTATATAGTTTTTTATATATAAAAAAATTGTAAATAATTGTAAATAATTGTTATATTTTTTTACAAATTAATACAAATCAATTCTAAAAACTGTATATCTATTTTAAATTTTACTCTTTGTTTTAAAAAATTATAATTTACAAAAAGAATTTTTTAAAAATATATATTTATCACTAAATTTAATTATAATAAAAAACATATATATAATAATATAAAATTTAATTTTTTTTAATTATAATTTTTATATAATTTTAATATATTTATAAAAAATTTTATATAACTTTATTTTTTAAAATAAATTTATTTATATTTAATTCAGAATTTTCAAATAGTAATATCATATAGATCATATATAATATTATTTAATAGTATTTATTATACTCTATTATTAAAATCAAAAGCAACAAGAAAATTATTTAAACTTTTCTTAATTTTTTAAAAAATAAATTAAAATTAATTTTATTATTCTAACTTTCAAAATTAAATATATTGTAACACAAAAATTCTTATCTATTAAACTTATTAAGCTTAAATTCAAATCAAAATATATTAACTCCATTTAATAAGATAATTTCTTTCTTTACTTTATGAAAAATCATATTATTAATAAGGCAAATCTGAAAGCTACTTAAGATAGTATAAAAAAATCATCAATATTATTAAATTTTATATTGTTAAAAAAATTTAATCAAAGCAATTTAAAGTATAAAAAATAGTTTTTAATTTATAAAACAAGAATTAAATTTTATAATAGATGATAATAAAATATATGTTCTTTTATTTGTTTAATAAAAATTATTAGATTATAAAAAATAATTATAAAAAAATTTTTTTATTCAATTATTATATTATATTATATTATATATTATACTTATATATTTATATATTATTATATTTTAAATTATATTATACTGTATATATATACTATATATTAAATAAAATATCAAAATTTATTATTATTATTTTTTTTTTTATAACACTGGCGTGCCAATAGTTTAGGTTTTTATTAACATATACTTGATGTACTTCATACTATTTGAAGTACGTATTATTTCTATGTTAGGGCATGTGAGGTTGTACTAACTTGTACTTGTCACTGCTCTGATATAC